AGACGTCCTCCCGTAAACAATGCCCCCCGGGGCTTGGCCTGAGGCGGCTCTTTAGGAGCCTGCTGGCCGGCGTCCGGCCAAGGCTTTCCTCATTAAGTGCATGCGGAGCCTACGGCAGCGGAGTGCAACGAGCGAGAAACCCTAAACCCTTAGTCCCTAAACCCTAAACCCCTTACATTAAGGATGGACTCGATCTCCCCGCCATGTTTCAAACTCGGCCAGGAGGTTTCCAAGAGCCGAGCCCCAGGCCGCCTCCCAGAGCCCAATACCCCTCTATTAAGGGTTTTGGGTTGTAGGTTTTTAAGGGTTAACGGCTTAGGGTTTGGGGTTTAGGGTTTAAGGAACGTACCTTAGATCATATTGATAATTGAAGGCATAGGCCTTCATCAAGGGATATTGGAGTCTCTGGGGCACAATACACCGCAATTAAGGAGTATATGGGTAGTTCTCTAAATTAGGGCAACTTTTTAGGTCCCCAAAATAGTACGGCACCCTTATGAAAAGGACCCTAAATGGGACCCTAATTGTGAAAACTACCCATATACCTTAGTTTAACAGTATGGTAAGGGGCTGAATATCATTCCTGATTTAAGCTATAGTTGTTCAATTAAAATTGTAATGTAGGGGCCTTAATCATTCGAATAGGGTTTTGGAGTCCATTATACCAAAATCATCATAAGGAACCCCCAAAATAATATTGGTATCTATTTAGGCCCCTGTATATTACTGGGTTCTTGTTAAGGGATTTAATTTAAGTTACCATAATAGGGATCTATAGTAAATAATATGGTTTCCCCATTATGGTAACTTGAACTAAATCTAAACCCTAAACCCTAAACCCTAAACCCTAATCCCTTAACAAGAACCCAGATTATAGGGCTCTCTGGGCTGGAGCTTAGACTGCAGAGGCGAAGCCGCAGTGTCAAGTCAAGCCCAAAAAAGCAAGGGACTGAAGGAGGGACCCTTAAAGGGACCCTTGGGGTTATATAGGGGGCTTTATGAGACTACATAAGGGGGACCCTTGGGGTTATATAGGGGCTTTATGAGACTATATAAGGGGTATGTAAGGGTTATAGTGGGGTATTTGGATGAGGGGGTCCCTCCTAGGGGTCCCTCCTAGTGTCCTTTAAACAAACCAGGTGCAGTATTGCTAGGTCAAGGCCTAAGCCCTAAACCTTCAACCCTAAACCCTAAAGCCCTCAACCTTCAGCCCGAAACCCAGGTGTAGTGCAAGCTTTGGATTCACGATTGCCTCCAACTCCTTGTACAATCTGTTGGCGATCTCCTGCGGCTGGTGCCTGAGGCCTGTGAGTTCAGGGTTTACCTTGGGTACTGCCCCCACTCAGTAACAGTTGGATAATATTTATATTATGGATATATTAGGCCCTTAATACTAGGCCTATTGTAGACTGTTACTGTATGGGGGCAGTACCCAAGGTTTACCTATAGTCTTCATTGTAGTTCCTGTTTTTTGTTAAACCAATTCTATATTAAGGATTCTATAAGGTAACCCCCAAAAGGAACTACAATGGAGCCTTTTGGTAGGGTTTAGGAGTGATTTCGTTCTCTGTTTGGCCTTGTTCAAAGAACGCGTGCGACACGTCCAGGCGGGATTAACGAAAGCCTGTGCAAAAGGGTTTAGGAGACATACATGTGCTGACATACCTGGATAGATAGATAGATAGATACATAGATAGATAGACAGATAGACAGATAGGTAGGTAGGTAGTATAAAAACGAATGCGGATATAGTCAGTATCAGAAACGCGAAATCGTCTTGCAGTACAGCCAAAGCTATCCAGTCAGACTGTACATCGTGTAACTAAGTGTGCAGCTACGATTCCGCTTTTTGTGGTCTGATTGCGACTTTTACTGAAACCTCTAGTCCTAATTGTGCCTTCCCAGAAACTCCAATATCCCTTAATTAAGGAATATACCTTAAATCATGTTAAAGATCCTACTATAATTTAAGGAACATTCCTTACTTAAGGGATATTGGAACCCTAAACCCTAAACCCTAAACCCTAAACCCTAAACCCTATTCCTTAATGAAGGGATATTGGAGTCTCTGGGTTCCCGTATATCTGCATTGAACTCTGGAACTGGCTCTTCGGCTACCTGGAACGTACGACGACCGCGTGGACTCTGTCAACAACAGCCACGGTTTGGGGTTTAGGGTTTAGGGTTTAGGGTCTAGGGTTTAGGGTTTAGGGTTTGGCGTTGGGTGCTCCATGCCCTGCGATTTCACATGCCAGACGGCAGGACTTGCATAAAGATGGGCAAGACACAGCTCACAGGCCAACGGAGGTCGGCACGCTTGAAGCAGTTCGTGGGTTGTACTCGGCGATGCAAGTCTCTGACAACCAACGACGGTGGTCAGTGCAAGTTCCTAGGAGTGCAGACCATGCACTTCGTGAAGAACACTATTGCTTTAGCCATATAGCAGAAGTTCCACTCTGACAAGAAGGTCGAGCAGTACAAAGACTGCGGCTTATGTATGCAGGTTCTGCACCACTGACTGTGTCGTTGTCTTCCCAGTACTGTCATTGTAACAACGGGCAGTATGTTGCTTTCATTATGGTGATTTGATCTTAGAATGTTGGCTGGGCAGTTTGGTATTGCCTGTATATCTACGTAATCAGCCTTATCATGGGGATACTGCCTCGATAAGGCTTGAAATATGAGGCCCACACAGCACAGTTCTCAAGAAGGTGCATTCATGTTTTCAGCAGCATATTGCAATGCAGAAGCTCGGATGGTTTTGAGGGTTCCAGCAGAGAGTGCAGCAGGATAGTATAACACGCAGGTGCCCCAGAATCCTTAGCCGATTTGTCTACATAAGCACTAAGGCCTTGAAGCCAAAAGCTCTTGAGACCCAAAGCGACATACGGCTACGAAACACCGAAAATCCTAAAGCCCTTCCACTTTCTAAGAGCTCCAGTCCCGATTTTTGGGTTTGGCGTCTGTGGTACCGGGGGCCCTAAACCCTAAACCCAAAACCCTAAACCCTACACCCTACATGGTACCGAGAAACCTTCAACATGTTGGCGTCGAATGCGAAGGTCCCATATAGCAGCCCTGCACAGAAACCTCACACGAATCCTACGGTTGATGATAAAAATCCTGCATTACCCATAATAATTAAGGAGTATACCATCAGGGTCCTTAAGGTACTGCAAGATTTATATCCATCAACAGTATTGAATTTGGTTAAGGCCCCCTTCAGGCCCCTATATGAGGCCTCGGCCAAGCAGCACGAAACTCAGGGATTTGAGTTCAGGAAATAACGATGCGAATGATTGAGGGCCCTACAGGGACGGTCAGCTCCCAAACCTCAAACCCCTAAAACCCTAAACCCCCAAACCCTAAACCCCTTAAGCCCTAAACCTCCAAGCCCTAAACCCCTAAACCCTACACCCCCTACCCCTAAACCCCTTAAGCCCTAAACCCCCAAACCCTAAACCCCTAAACCCTCAAAGAAAACAAAACTCCCAAACCCTAAACCCTAAACCCCCAACGCCCTAAACCCTAAACCC